TCCGAGCCCACGGTGAGTGTCCGAGCCCACGGTGAGTGTCCGAGCCCACAGGGAGTATCTGACCCCACAAGTGAGTGTCGAGCTCACTACAAATGTGCACTACTCTGTGCCTGACAACGTTTTATCAAAGAAAGAGTACCAACACGTACTTCTCTTACCTTGCTGTAAAAAGCAAGCAAACCCCCTTAACTGGTACTATGTAAATATGAGAAGATGCTTTCTGAAATTATATTTAAAGAAACCACCACACAGCCTTTAAACAGAAAATGGAAGGAATTCCCTTCTGAGTGGAACCATTTTAGAGGAAAACCTGGATGCGAAAAAATCCCCAAACCAAAACTAACCCTTGAAGTACAAGAATGCATATATGAAAGCCAGAAGACCCCATGAACTAATAGGTAACACCCACCATTCAGATCTACTGAAGTATGTTAAAAAGAAAGGCAAAAAGCAACAGCCAAAGGCCAATACCAAAAGCTGACTTCTTAAACCCAGTAAGACAACTATTCTGAATGTCTGAGATATACATTCTAAGTAGAATTAAATGAAAAATGCCTCTCAGACTTGAATTATTCAGTCTACTCACTGTGTCAGCAGTTGCTGGTATTTGAACTTGCTTCTCATCAGAGTCTAACTGGCATAAATTTGTAACTTGGAGCCAGCTGGTCTCCTCTGCAGCCATATTCCACTCCCCTCGTTTGGTCAACAAACTGCAGATAAAAAGGCATTTTGAGATGCACCTTCATGAGACAGTTCTGTGGGTCGCATAGGATGAAAGAAGGGGGGGTTCCCTCACTGGAGTGATTCACGGTGACCACATGCTACTGGGTCTTAGTGGACAGTGGTTACCTTTTTGGGGGTGAGTGGGCAGTATGCTACAGAGTCCTATACTTACAGATTAAAATAATCTTTGACTTATACAAATAAATCTGCTTCAGTATTTTCCAGGGAGGACTGTTGTGAACTCCTTGATCAGTGCCTCTCCACCTGGCTTCACACTGGAACCATCAGCAGACTCGGACAAGCACTCATGCCAGGACTCGACTCCGCACGACTTGGATTTAATCTGACAACGGCCAAAGTGGACAGTCGTGCAGACCGACACTGGTCAGTGAGCCCCGGTTGAGGGGAGTCACTCACGCCCGAGGACACCAGCACAGAGCCTAATGCTGCATGGCAGTGATTTTTCATTCTGGTCACCATTAGGAATTACCCAAAGAGGAAAAATGCTGGGCTTTTCCTATTTCAATTCATCAGCCACGACAGAAACAGTGCAAAGCTCTACACTGAAGGGCAAGGAGCTGCCCGCAGCAGGACATCTGTAACTGAGGGCCTGCCTGCGGACTGAACCGGTAAAACCAGGAATAATCTTGATATTTAGTTATGGCACTTAAAAAAATCACTTTACAACATCCTTTTTCTCGCCATGTGCCTAACCCAGAAGTCACTATTTATAACATCTAGAATTCCTCACTGAGAAATACAAGGGATCACTGAACTCTCATCATCATGAAAGTAAAGCTTCCGACTCTCAGAGCAGCCTCTCCTAGCTGGTTACCTGTAAGGGCCGCCATCCAGATCCTGGACTAAAAGCGAGCTTCCGTTTGTGAGGCCGTGCTCTCTGAAGGTCCTCCTCAGGTGCTCTGTGGGGACAGCGGTCCAGCCCTCAGTGCTGGTGGACCCGGCACCTCTAGTGAAGAGGACACCCGCTGGGAGAGCCAAGGCGGCGAAGACTGTGCCCATTTCGGCATTCGACGGAAAGACGTGTGCAGATTCTACCAACCGCTGGCGCATTTCTCCTTCACTGCTTGCTGTGAGGTGAAGAATATTTAAGAGCAGAGGTTCACAGTCAATACCAGTCTGAACCGGGACTCCACCAACCTACAAGATAACATGGAGACAGCCATTAGGATGGTTTGTATTGGTTAAAGTCAGTCAGAAGAACAACACCGTAAAAGACCATTTTTTTCCCCAAGTAAAATTTTCACAACTGTCTGTTTTGAAACTATAGCTCATCCATTCTTGTTTTCATGTCAACAGCGGTCATCTAGATGGCTCCTCATATATCTGGGTGAGGAAGGCACTCTCCCGAGAGATGCCCCCCACACAAACTCTGCACTCTTGTAAGGGTTCCAACAGCACTTCCACCCCAACACTGTCCTGCACAGAGCGGTGTGAGGGACACCCACTGCCCACAGGACAAAATCCATTTCTTAGATTGGGATTTAAAGTTCTCAATCTATCTAGGTCACTAAGCAACCGAACCTCCAAAGTACAGGCAAGTCAGTCCCGTGCACCAGCCAAGTCCCCGCACCACACACGCGATCACTGCTCCTTGCTCCAGAACTCACGCGCTCGCCGTCAAGCCCCCCCCCGCTGAGCCTCCCTCCAGCAGGGCTCTGACGTGGTAAATCACAACAGGAGGAGCAGAGCCAGCGGTGCGCTTGAAGCAGTGATGACATGTGACCTGTGGACCAGGACTAGCAGCACAACTTGCTACAGGCCGCACCGCAGGAGTGGTGGCATAGTCAAGGACCGTACAGCATCACTCCACAGAAAACTGTTTTCACATAAAACAGTTACAGTACTGCTCCACTTCAGGGATATGGACGGGCATTATTTCTGTTACTCAAATAATACAGATTTCTGTGTAAAAATGTCAAGTATCTTTAGAGAAGACAATTATCTTCCATAGGTCCTAGTGCAGTTGGTCTGACACCAGTTATTTGAACAAGGTCAAGAACACGAGCATTTCTGAGTCAGCCCTATCACCACCCTCCCACTCACTGGAGAAATGTTTGAGACACACCTGCTATATGCCAGGCAACAGAATAATGTAATAAGATGAGGCGCGACTGTAACAGGGTTAAGAGATATAACCAGGTAAATGTTACAAGTAGAGGCAATATCAAAGCACTAGCAAAGACAAGAAAGGTCTGCCTGGGGCAGTTTCGAAACAGAAATGTAATACAGCCAAGCTGATCCGAGGCACAGAAATCCCACAGCACAGGGCAGACCCGTCCCATGGGAGTTCCAGGGCTGTTCACCTTTACAGAAGCAGGTGTGTCAGCTTGGCCAGCAGAGGGTTAGTGGATGTGAACTACCAACTTAGTGATTAGCAGCCCAATGCTTTAACCATTGTGCCATTAACGTTCCAGTATTTACAGACTGGGTGACATTCTAAAGGGATTTTTTAGGATGACTTGAGCAGCCCCGGAGAGCTATGAAGACCCACTGTACTTCAGAAATGGTAACTCTACACCCTGTCTGAGGTCATGCCTTGGTCTTCTATTACCGTCTGAGGTGTGAGACTAACTGAAGGTCAGCATTTCAAACCCAGTAGCTGCTCTGTGGGACAAAGACGGGCAGTCTCCTCCTGTAAGGGTTCTCCGCCTTGGAAATCCTACGGAGGGTCACTCTGTGTTGGAATCCACATTGTGGCTGGCAGTCGTCCTGTGTTTTTTTTTAATTCTATGCTTTACTCACTGGTGATGTATTTGCTTTCAAAATATACCATGCCTTCCTATGTTTTCATCCCTCCCCTGCACTCCTGTAATGCAAATGTTTACTGAGTGGTTATTCTGAGCCAGATTCTGAGCTAAGTGCTATGGCCTGTTTAAACCAAAAGACACATCAAGGTAAAACAATTAGCAGAGTGCTGAGGGTTTGTGTAGGAAAGAAAACCTCACCTGGACTTAACAGAAGGTAACTTGACAATGGATAAGAAGAATCTAATTTTGTCAGTTTGAATGGAGGAATAGGGTGTTGGGGGGGGGAGCAAAGAGCAAGGTGGAGGAAGGACAGACAGCAGCACATGTCCTGAGGCCCAGGGAGGGAGCCAGAGACCAGGGAATAAAAGGAAGAAAGTATGGAGAGGGGATGAATCAGAATGTGAAGGGCACGGGAAGGAGTCTAAATGGTCGAGCTTAAGGCCAGAAGAAACAACTGCCTTTACTGGCAACACGGCGGCAGGATCAGTTTGTGAATTTTCTTTTTAGTTACCCTGCTGTTTGTCAACAACTTCAGTCTTTTCTCCAGTTATGATGAGTGTTGAGCACTTTTGTTTTCTTGATGTTGAGAGGTGATGTAGAGTGAAGGCTGCAGTCACTGGCCTTCTGCAGTTGAGTGCTTCAAGTATTCACTTCCTGCAAGCAGGGCTGCACCATCTGCACAATGGAGGCTGCTGAAGTTGTTCCGTGCTGTTGCCCAAGAACCGGCCCATGGCTGACCCTCTCGCAGACACTGCCCATTCTTCTCTCGCCAAGGCTGGTGGATTCAAACCTCAGGGCTTTGGGATTCCAGTGCGGTTTCTTTCCGTTAGGCTCCTCCAGTTCGCAAGCATCAGGTCGCTGATGAGTACTCAGTCTTAATGCTGCATTCTTCCTCACAAAGTCCAGCTTCTTCAATGAGTCGCTGGCATACAGACTGAACAGACAGAGAAAGGGACACACATCTTCTTTTGATTTTCAACCCTGCCGTATTCCCTTCTCCTGTACAGACTCTTGGTCTATGTTTAGGGTTCCCATATTCTGGGATTCTCATTCTTCTCATTTGTTATGATCCACAGAGTGGAATGCCTTTGTATAAACAATATTGTTGTTCTTAAGTGCCATCGAGTTGCCTACAACTCATAGTGACCCTGTGTACAACAGCTCTGAAGCCTGCCCTGTCCTGAGCCAGTCGGACTCTGACATACCTAACCCCTTTACCCCAGTGTCAATCCATCTCATCCAGGATCTTCCTCTCCTGCGCTGTCCCTCCACCCTTCCGAGCATGATGTCCTTCTCCAAGGATTGGTCCCTCCTGGCCACATGCCCAAAGTATGTGAGACAGAGCTTCAAAATCCTAGCCTCCAAGGACAAGGAAAAACCTGGTTTTACCCTCTCCAATAAAACACAATGTATTTCTGATGCTCTCTGCTTTTGAACAGTACACACCTGACATCAGCAATGACATCTCTCATATCACAGTATCTTCTGAACCTAGCTTAATTTTCTAGCATTTCCCTCTTGATACACTGTTTCAGCCATTTTCAAATAATCTTCAGCAATATTTTACTTCCATGTGATATTAAAAATATTGCTTGAAATTACTGACTAGGTTTTAAATTAGGAAGTGTGTGTCAAGGCTGTATCTTTCTTCTTTATTCAATCTGTATGTTGAACAAATAATTTGAGAACTGAAATATATGAAGAAGAATGTGACATAATGATTGGAGGAAGTCTCATTAACAACCTGTATTAAGCAGATAATGCAACCCTGTTTGCAAAGTGAAGAGGTGAAGCTCTTATTGAAAAACACAAAGGACAACTAGAGTGTGTGCGGGGGAAAGTCTAAAGCGACGGCGAGGGACAGGGGTAACTGGCTGGTGATGCTATTTAGAGACAAAGAAATACAAGAGTTTATTTGGTTGTTCATTTTAGGGAAACGAGGAACAGTGGCTGGTGATTCGCTTGTGGACAGTTCTCATTAGAGACGCCCGTGGAATAACATGGTAGAGATCTCCAAGAGGCAAGAGAATACACTAGTGAAGTGGGAAATCTGTAGCAAAATAGAGAGCTGCAATTCCTCAGTAATTGTGATGTTGCTGTTGTGTAAGAATCAACTCACAGCTGATATACTCCAGTGGGTTTTCAGAGGCAATAAACTGCATGGGAGGAGACTGTCCACCTTTCTCCCGTAGAGTAGCTGGTGGATTTGAACATGCCTTTAGGACTTCAGTGTAGCTTCTACCGACTAGGCCACCAGCACTCTCTGGAGTTGTGATGAGTCCTTGGACATAACAGATGGCCCAAGGACAGTCCTCAGAACAGCAGCAGTGCTCCTCAGCCCTATACAACATAGAAAGCCCACTCTCTTCCTCGACACTAAGATCACTCTTCCTCAGTCAGTGCGGTGCCCACTCGCTCCGCAATTCTCACAGCAACTCTGTATAGCCTGCACTACAGCACTTCTACTGTGGGGTCACTATTTCCCTCATGAAGGACAAATCTGCCAGACAGCCTGTTTTCCCAGTGTTTTTCTTGTATCAATTGCACCTAAAAGTAAATGATCATATTGGAAGCTTCCCAATGTCTTAAGTGCCTTGATAACTGCTGAAAAAAGGTCACTGTAATGACTTAGGGGGAAAAAAAATTAAAAATGACTATTCTGTGAGTAGTTTTGTTACCTCCACCCCATTCCAAACAAAGATGTCTTCTCCATCAGCAATTTCCATCTCACAGAGAGTCAGTTCATCTCCTGCAAGATGAGACCAACAGTAAGAACATTTATCACAATCATCCCCAAAATCATAAACAAATAAAAACCGAGAGACACTTGAATATTTGCTTGAAAAAGCACTCTCCTTAAGGAAAGTTATGAAAAAGGAAGAATATTTTTATTATACTCTTTCATATTATTTTTAGCTCTGGTTTTTTGTTTAAATTTTAGTCTCCCATGCTCTTGCATAATCTTTGTGAGCTGGGAGCAGGAAGAAAAGCATTAACATAGAGGTCAGTGGTACCTGAGGCTTTATGGCAACGTGAACAGGAGGAAGGCTTTGGCACACAACAGTCTAAACTATATAGTTCTGGTATATGTTAACAAGTTGTTAAGGCTCAGCCAATTCTGGGGCAGTTAAATGAGATTCACATAAAATATTACAACAGTACCTGGCACAGAGAAGACAGAAATACACATCCTTTTTTTTTTTTCTCTTCTTCTCCCTGCCTCTTTTGAAACAGTCCCTCGGTAAGGACTATCCACTTAGCTTTGTATCCAAAGACGAAATTTGTAGGTGAAAGGAGTTAGGAATTAGCCTTCGTTACAGACTGGTTCATTTCAGGGTCGAAAATATGGAACGCTTCACGAATTTGCGTGTCATCCTTGCGCAGGGGCCATGCTAATCTTCTCTGTATCGTTCCAATTTTAGTATATGTGCTGCCGAAGCGAGCACAGAAATACACATCCTTGTTACTGCTCTTATTTTTATAAGTAAATACTTTTAAACCCCAGAAGTACTTTTTACTACCTGCTACAAAAGCTGAAGCTGAGGCCTGATATAGCTCAAAAAAGTTTATACACACACACACACACACACACACACACAGAAAAGATGTAGCCTCAATTTGAGAAAACACAAAACATTATCATATTAGAAAAACTTAACACATTTTTAAGTTAAATAAATTATTTCTTTTTGCCAACTCGGCAATATGATAATCTCAAAATATCATTATAAAGTACAGGGAAGACGAAAGGTTGGCAAAGAGTATGAAATTCCATATAATCTAGAAAATGCGCTGCGGTTTTCCCGTTTATCTTACCGTCGAGCTTCTGGTAAATGTGAAGGCCTGCTGGTAGCAACTTTGCCACACTAAGAACCATGTCTCCTTCCCAAAATTCCAAGAGCTAAAGGATGTAATAAAAGAAATCAGTTAGATGGAACCTAGATAATGAATCACATTTCCAGGTCAAACAGTGTCCAAGGTGGATGACAACACACACACACACACACACACACACACACACACACACACACACACTATATCCTGGCACCCCTTCCCTACCCAACACCAACATCTGCAAAGGTGGCACCACTGGTTAAACTAGGAAAATCCACAGATGAGGACCACTGTCAACAACGTCCCTGTGACACCGACTGTTAGGAATAAAAACGACGGCATGATAAGCATGCCAGGATAGGAAGAGGGACCCTTCCCCTCCCTAAAATAGAAGCACAAACCTCATGCATTCAATTAGCACTCTTCAGGGAAAAACTGCACAAATTTATTATACAAGTATTCTAGGTGCTTGAAAGAAAGTCTCCCACCATAAAGGCTTTATATTACAGAAGTATTCTCTACGTTTCTAGGTCTAAGACTTTGGGAACTGCAGTAACCTCATCAAAGCAATGGTCCATAAAAGTAATTACTGAGTCAGTACTGATCCCAGTCTTGTTAGTACCTAACTTTTCACGCAGTAGTTTCTGGATGTAAACATTCCAACACCAGACAGCACAGACTGGACTGAATTGAGAGCTTATAACAGTTAACTCCATTTGAAATGTTGTCTAGGACAGATTCAGATTCCCCAAGTCTTCAGTATGACTTTTCAAGTCACTGAATCTGACTTGACCACGTGGATGGGCAGGAATATGTGAACAAGGCGCGTCAGTCTACCCACAAGGGGCATGGCCGGTCTTACCAACCTACAAGGGGCCTGGCCGGTCTCACCAACCTACAAGGGGCCTGGCTAGCCTTGCCAATAAACTGAGCAGCTCCAGCAGCAGATCAGATCTTCCCCGCCAGCAAAGCAGCGGCAGCTTGCTCAGCTACTTGTGGCTGCAGCAGTGGCCACCGCTGAACCAGAGAACAGCACAAATTAGAGCTATCTTGGGACTGCTACCCCATGGACAGAGCCAGAGCTTAGACTTTCTGTCCAAGCTGGTTGGACAACTGGGAGGGAGGAGGGAAGAAAATATTGGCAGGACTGAAACTTTGTAACATGGACCTAAAACCATTAAGTTCAAGGATGAGGTGCCTGCAAGAAGATTTTGTAATCTGTCTTGACTGTATTCTGCTACTAACCTGAATTATAGCCTTTTGACTTCCCCTACATGGTTCTGTGTGGTCTGTGAATGATTCCATAGGATTTTGGACCAACCAAAGTTGTAAGATTGGTGTTTGGATGAGTAGAGAGAGGTTCAGGAATGTGGGGGACATGTCTGACCTCATGGGAATTGGTTTTGTGTCGCAGATCCTGTTGATGGGATTCCCCTTCATAAAACTGGTCAAGGTCAGACATGGCTGTCCCCACATGGTCCTTGCCCTTTTTACATCTACCTACAGCACAACCGCCACAATTAAATTCTGAAAAACTTTCAATGCTAAAACTCAAAAACACCAGATGGATTTAGAAATGTTGATTCTGACCCATATTTAAATACCTAACCTTCAACTTATAGCATACCCAAGCTTCTCAACCTTACACAAAGGAGGTACCAAGACAGATGTCACCTTCGGCCATACATACATACATAGAGACATACATACATTTCGCACATTTATGAAAATGGAATTATGCATCAAATGCTCTCATGCCATAAAACAATTAGATGAAACCAGACATCAGTTAACAGAAAGTACAGCTGCGAAATCTCAAAATATCTAGCGATTAAACAATACACTTTAAGTAACATAGGTAAGTCAAAGGAATCTTAAGAGAAATTAAAACAATTTTCAGTTAAATCAATACACATTTTTTCAAAATTTGCGTGATGCAGCTAAAGTAAGTACAGGGAAACTTGCAGCACTGGATGAATGACAAGAGACAACGACCTAGAGCTGATGGCCCGAGCTTCCACCTTATCGATGCTGCGCCATCGAGTCGGAACTAACTCAGCTGGCTCTCTAGTAGGTTTTCAGAGGCAGTAAACTGCAAAGGAGGAGAATGCCCATCTTTCTCCCAAGAAGGAACTGTTGGATTTGAAAAAATATAAGCAGAATAAAAGAAATAATAAAAATCTGAGCACAAGTCAAAGAAGTTGAGAACAGGAAACAAAATAACTGAACCCCAAAGGTGGTTCTTTGAAAAGATCAATATGCTTGATAAACTTCTTGCCAGGAAAACAAAGAAAGAGACAGAAGACACAAATTAAGATAAAAGCTGTGAAAGTGGCCTTATAAGTCGATAATCTGTCAGAGAAGGTGAGCTCAAGAACTTCCCACCAAAGAAAAGTGAGGGCAGAGCAGTGAAGCCTGCCAACTGTCGCAGGTGGAAACCAGGCAGGATGTGAAAGGTCTCTGACCCTCCTGTGTTCCTGCTCTCATAGGCTGCACAGTGCTGCGGTCAGGAAGGAGAGACCGTCACAATCATCACTGGATAACAAGGCAACAGGAAAGGAATACTAGAAACATACACTTGACAACTTAAACCAAATAGACCAAGTCTTCATTCTTCAAAGTCAACATTATTCCATCGCCAAGCAGACAAAGACTTCAGAGGAAGGAAATCAGACAGTCTCTCATAAAAACAGATAAAAAATCCTAACAAAGTATCAGCAAACCAAATGCAATAATGGTGAAAAGGATTCTATACTGTGCTGCAGCGAGTGAGAATTATCCCAGGACTTCAAGACTGTTTCTGTTTTTGGCAATTAACTCATCATAACAGCCTGATGAAGAAAAACAGAAAAAGCATTTGGCATCTTCACCTAATATCCATTCATGGAAAAAACTCTCAGCAGTCTCAGCAAAGCAGGGTCTTCCTCAACTTAATAAAGACCATCAACAAAACCCAAATCACTGACATTGTATTTAATGGTGAGAAAAGATCTTAAGCTCTAGTATAAATTACACTGACACACGTCAGTCACAAAAGACAACTACTGCATAAGACTCTTAATTATAAAAAACAAAGGAAAGGTCTACTCAGAATCAATCTTGGAAAGCTATTGGGGAGCGGAAAGGGGAGTAAAAATTAAGAAGCTGAGTGTAGGCAAAGGCAAACAAAATAAAGTTGATCAGATAGCATAATTAATTACATTAATTCAAGGCAATTAATATTGTAAAAGTTTATGAATAGTCGACTATATGAAAAATCAGAATGATGTGTACAGCTTCATTCAAATAAAAAAAGAAATTTATTTTTAAAAAAGTAGGGGGTGGTTTCCCCCTGGTCTCTCTCTCTCTCCAGATCAAGGAATCCCACCCGGGAACCCCCTTAAAAAAGCTGCTTAAAAAAAACAAAGAAAAAAAATGCTGCTTTAAGTTAGTTTGGCTTTTAAAAAAAATTTTTTTTTGAGGGTTTTTGTGTTTTTGCTGTTTTGTTTTTTTTTTAAAGGTAAGGTTAGTTTGCTTTCAGAAACTTAAAGAAACAAATGACATAATTTATATGAAAAGAATCGCAAATCCGAAGAGTACTATTACTACAAACTCCTATTAAAACCCACTTGGATATATTATTTGGAAGAAAGATTGCCATGTATGTTTTTACCAGAGAACCATAAGTACTTTCTTTCACTTATAAATCTGATTCACAAATGCTGTTCTTTTTTTTTTTTTATTTCTTGTGCGTGTACCGTCAAATCAGATCTGACTGGTACAGGAGGAAATTATCCCTCCTTCTCCGACAGAGCATCTGGTGAATTCGAACTGCGTACCTTTGGGGTTGCAGTACAGCTTCTTGCCACTAGGTCAGCAGAGCTCCCCACAAATGCTGTTCTACACAGGAAGGCAGAAAATGTAATTGCTTTTATTTTCTTGGGAGTTCTTGGTTTTCCTGTTTTCATTCTTTTTCCAAAACAATTCTCCTATATTCATCTACCCCAAATGAAATGGACCAGGTATGATTCTCTATCCACTAAGCTGCTGACTGAAGCTTGAGCAGAAAAGGCCCGTGAAGACGTTGCAGGTATGGGAGAACACGTGGATGCCATCTCTGGGAGGGGCAGATACTGGCTTTTCCCAACAAACTTTGGAAAATAAAGAGCCGGATCCTAGGATGAAGGAACAGCCTAGCCTAAGATAGACTCTAACGTCTATGCTAGGACGTTAAGAGTAAGTTACCTGAAATACTGATTGTCGGAGAGTTCCAAGTGTCTGTCTTTTATCAAAAGTCAAATTCCACATGCTTTCTGTTTGAGAAATTGCAGGGTGCAGAGCCCCATTGAAGAGACGATACCGTGGGCCCAGATGGAGATGCAGTTCAACGTGATTGTTTGCAGAGTCACATTCTGCTCTTTAAGAGAAGTATAAACAAATACATATATAGAAATACTGGTGCTTCATTGAAACCAAACATAAAGAAGCTTTCCATCTGCTAAGTAAAGAAGATCTCTGTCATGTTCCAAAAGAATTTTCATTCTTTCCATAAACTAGCAAGAATTTATTTCAAACGGTCACTGTGAATTTCAAGGAAAAACTTTTAGCAAGGTCAATACATTACTCTGAACAAATACTGACACTCAGACTCTTCCAGGCCTGAGATTAGTCATCAACAAAATACCAGAAATCTGCTCATATCATGTTTTAACACAAATAATGCACAAGTCATACGGGGTTTATCTGCAACCTCAATAGGTCCCTGTTTGTATTCCATGCCTGTGTAGGGTTTCCAGTGGACGTCACATAAGCTTGTATTCTTCTTAAGTTTAACTAGACTCCCTAAGGTTGCTGCTGGTATGTGCCTTCAAGTCGGAATTGATTCCTAACTGACCTTCCAATGGGTTTTCAGAGGTAGTAAATCACACTGGAGGAGACTGCCCATCTTTCTCCTGCGGAGCAGAAGGTGAACATGAACCGCAGGCCTCTGGGTCGTTGGCACGGGGTCTTCACCACTAGGCCACTAGAGCTCCCTAGAATCTCCTATAAAATACCTGAATTTACTTGTGAAGGTTACTATGTGTTAATGTGGCCATAATTATCAGTACAATGTAACTTGCTATGTATGGTAAATTCTAAGCCCTTTGATGTTAATAAAGCAGGATTAAAAAAAGATCTTTGAAAATATGATTAATCTCAGAAGTATGTCCTACATGGTATGTATGTTTGGACTCGTTTTCTGTCAGATCTACATCTGGTAAACTACTCAGTTCTCCAGACTTGAACTAGTGACCTGTCATCCTTGCTGACTCTGGGCTTGTCAGTCTCCAAACCTAGGCAACTGTAAACCTGCTTCCTATCAAAAAGACCTCTGGATGGCAGGCTCTGGAGCTGGTAGCCTCCAAAGCCAGCAGCCTGAGGCTCTGCCTGCCTGCCTGCTGACAACCTGGACCAGTTGTGAAAAGATTTGGGGTTAAGATCTAACACTAGGAATTCCATCACAGCCCTGACAAAGGGCAAATTTCCCGGGGGTGTAGCCTTGGTCATCGTGTGCCTCATTAGAAAGACAAGAAAAAAAGAACAGAAGGTTGGGGACTTCATACCATAAAGAAAGAAGACCAGGAGTGGAATTGCATCTTTCAGACCCCATCACCATGTTGGGAAGCTCCTGGACACTGGGTAAGGCTAAGACACTCCAATGCCAGGTCTACAGAGAAGGAAGGAAACAAGAACTTTCCTCTAGACTAGAGAGAGAAAGAGAGAGTGTGGGCTTTCCTGTGAGCCAGCACCCTGGATTTGGACTTCTGGTCTCCTCCACTCTAAGAGAATAAACTCTGTTCAAACCACCTCTGTGACATCTCTGTAAGAGCTGCAGTAGATACCTAAGACAGTTACCTTTCTGTTTGCAGTTTGATGTTGGCAGCATCCATTTCACTCAACAAATGACATGGAACCTTGTATCTTGGATTAGCTCGAGCTGTGGAGAAAATTTTTCATTAATGGGCTGACCAGTTTCTCCTGACCAGAACCTAATGAGTTGAATAGGCGGCCTGGAAAGTGAGGCACGGCTACGCCAAGAGCCTGGGAAGCTGCATCTAAGCAACTGTGTGAGCACACACTTCCTCAGGCCCAAGACTTTTCCACCTGAAAAATGAAAAGTTAGAGCCAAAGAGGGGTAAACGGTTCTTCAGGTCAAACTAGAAGAGTTCCATTTCTTTGACTCTCTTCAAATGTAATTTTTCAAAAGGAAATTCAGTATCTTCTTACTGAATACAATCACTGATCACTAGGGAAATTCTAGAAATTACTTTCACAAATAATATACAAGAAAGATACACTCTTACAAGAAACCACCACGGCTCAAATTTGGTATATAGACTTCTGATGTTTTTACCCACTTTTAACTGAATGGGCCAGTATACACACACACACTTTTTAAAACAATTGGGATCATAGTTAACAAACTAAAAAACCAACAACAACAAATCCCCTGACCTAGTTTTTTGTTTCCTGTGTTAAGAGGGGCGAGTCCTCGGGGAAAAGCATGATGTCTGCAAAGGTGAAGGTCGGCCCAGGAGAGGAACAACTTCGATGGCACGGACTGACACACTGACTGCAGCCACAGGCTCAAGTGTGTCAGGGCTGACGAGGACACAGGACAAGGCTCAGATCTGTCAGTCATAGGGTCACTCTGAGTTGGACCCCACAGCACTGTGACTAGTTTTCTAAACACTTAAATCTTATGTGCTCTCATACCAACACCAACTCACAGCACCACCAGGAGACAGAGTGCAACTGCCCCCTGGTCTCCTGGGCTGTGCTTTTACAGGAGGGGATCACCAGGTCTCTGTCCTGCAAAGCCACGCTGGTGGGGCCACGGTGCTCACAGGTCCTTTAGTGGCTGAACACACTTTCCCAACGCACCATGGCATGGTTACCCATTAGACGCTGTTGTTGTTGCTGTTAAGTGCTGTCGAGTTGCAGGCGACTCATAGCGACCCTATGAAGGAGAGTCCTCAATGTTCGGGACCCATTAGATAAGCAGCATAATTAATCTAACAAGTCTCTTTTTGTTTCAAATTAGCCACTATTATTAATTTTCCTTTATGCCCTTCAAGGCAATGTACTACAGACATCTATGAACATAACTATTTGCATAAAACTGATTCTTTCAAGTTCGGAAAGGGGTGGGGTGGGGAAGAGAGGGGCTGGAAAAAAAAACCAACCAAAAAAACCCAACAAACTTTAGCTGCCACTGAGCTGACTTCGAAGCAGTGACCCTGTGACTATCAGATCTGAACCCCACCCTATCCTGTGTCAGACTCAGGATATTGCATTGGGAAAATTGCAGTCAAGAAACTCTTCAAAGGGCTTAAGAGCAAGCATATCAACTTAAAGATTAAGGTGTGCAAATATATGTATGTACAAATATACATAAAATATGAAGGAGTTATAGTTTAAATCGAGTAAATAAAATACTGGATTTAACAGAAAAATTTTTTTTTTCTATCAACCAATCAACTTTTCCATTTTATATATTCATTTACTATGCTCTATCTGAAAACCTGCTGTATTGTGAATGAAATTAAAAAAATCTACCTACATCAATCTCTACATTCATTTCTTATTTCCAGGCCCTGTTTCAATGACCTGATCACCTCTTTTTATCAAGTAATACCCTGCCTTCACTGCTATGGATTTATAAATCTTCTTACTGATAGAGCAAAATTTCCCTTAGCAGTCCTAATGGATTTCTGCAGGTGAGTAATTTTTGTCAAGTTCTGTTCCTTTACTACTCCTTCCCTGAAAAAGTCCATCAGGATTGAAGTAGATTTTTATGAAATTTATAAACTAGCCAGAACAGCTGCTTTGCACATTTTCTAGAATCCTGCTAAATTTCAATCTATCTAAATTCCTACTCCATCTGAAGATATTATTTTTCTGGGAATAATATATTCTTCAACTGTGAATTGTGTCTCACAATATTGTTATCTGCACCATCATTCTGCCCCACTCCTGGGAAACACAAAGCCCTTACCAGCCAATAGCACAGCATAGTTATGTAATTGTTCAATATTCAAAGAGTTTATTTCCTTTGATCCACAAGCAAATTACTAGAGGTTTCATTTTTATTCTTTATGAAAAATGGCCACTAATCTCTCATTCCTAATCACGGTAATTCAGAGTTTTCCTAGTTAGGATTTTTTTCTTAAATTTTTTTTATTTTATTATTTTTTGTGCATAGTACCGTCAAATCAGATCTGACTGGTACAGGAGGAGATTGTGATTGTTTTCTTTTTTCATTTGAGAGGAGATCAAAGTTGTGCCAGTAAGTTCATGTTAGTTGCTTGGTTCAAAAGCAATCGTTATTACAGGTCTCAGCCTTTAGCTTCTGTGGTATCAGTTCTCTTAGAAGGCTCAACATGGGAAGCTTCAGCGATATTTCACCTGTCCAGAGAATGGAAACCTGAATTTTCCCTCAAGCATTACCTTGAGGGGAGGAAGAAAATAAAAGACTACATTAAGAAGACTAAAGCCGCTGACAATTCAAAGGCAAACATGACTGTCCGCAGAATCAAGCCGATAGCAGGGCAATCAGAATCAGGTTTCCCAACACAATGAGAAAACATTATTTGACCCAAGACAACTCAATTTTCAAAGTCTAACTCTGTGTAGACATACTATATTTGTGTGTGTGTATATATATTTTACCTCGTAAGAATCAAGTATAAATATATGATCAATTCGTATGCCATGCAAACAATCTGAGAAGCTAGACTATATATAGAATGTGGCATCAAGATTGGAGACTTTGCAGCATGGCATGGCTCACAATCAACAAAGCAGTGCCATGTCTTTTTATTTATTTATTTTTTTAAGTTTTAATAATTTTAACGAGCATTTACAGAGACTTTGGATTTCCATTCATTCACTACTGTACTTCTCTCCCCGCCCAGCCCTCCCCCAATAAAAAAAAAAAGAAAAAAAAGGCTGGAGACTTATTAATAACCTGTAATATGCAGATGACATAACCTTGCTTGCAGAAAGAAAAGAAACTTTGAAGCACTTTACTATAGAAAATCAAAGACTACAGTTTTGAATATGGGTTACATCTCAACATCAAAAAAGCTAAAATCCTCACCATAAGATTAATCAACAACGAATGACCCACTGTCATGGGGTTAGAAAAGACGCACAGCTGAGCCTGCAGTAGGTTTTCAGAGGCTGTAAACAGCACAGGAGTAGACTGCCCATGTTTCTCTCGCAGAGCAGATTGTGGATTCAGAACAACTCGGGCTGGTAGCACAGTTCCTCAATTCCAAGGCCTGTAGAGCACCCTCAGTCCAATAAACAACATTAGGACAGATGAAGAACACACTGAAGCTGCCAGTGACGCATAACCAACATCCAAACAGCAGCAGTCAAGAATCGGAAAGACACTTGCACGGGGAAAATCAGCCGTCAAGGACTTCTCCAAAGTACTAAAGGGCAAAGAGAATTAGTTTAAAGACTAAGCTGTGCCTGATCCAAGCCCCAGTATTTTTAATGGCTTTGTGTGTAAGGGAAGGGTGGCCCGAATAAGAAGACCAAAGAAGAAACAATGCCTTTGAATTTGGGTGAAAGTACGGAATATTCCATGGACTGATGAATGACTAAACAGACCTGTTTTGGAGGAAAAGCAATAGGGTGCTCCGTAGAGGCAATGATCGAAACCTCCATCCCCACACTCAGGAAGGACCAGTCCTTGGGAAATCATGCTGGGAAAGGTAAAGGGACAGGAAAAGACAAGACAGCCTTTAAAGAAACAGACTGTCAGTGTCCCTGTGCCAATGGCCTCGAGCATAGCAGAGACTGTGAGGGAGGCACAGCGTATGACAAGGTTCAGATCTGTTGTTCCTAAGGTTGCTATGAGTTGCAGCTGATACAACGGCACCTAATAACAACAACAGGCAATTCTTATAAATGACAGATTGTTGGATCTCATTTGGTGTAGTCTTGTATTTTAAGAGTAAACGGTCTTTTAAAAAAAGGTAAATGAAAAAGTCTCATATATAACACTAGACATTTATCTTCTAAAGACAAGTGCTTACATTCTAAATAAATCAATAATAGACTTTAAAGCACTTTCATCTTTCCATACCTTCAGGGGGTCTCTGCAACTGGGATTTTCGATAAAACAACATATAGGCACTTTCTTTGCCCTGGAACTGCTGTTCAATATCCTTTTCCTCGATTGGCTGGACTCTGGAATCATTTATATCAAACCAGTGAGGGCAGGATGTGCTATCATTTAGTACTGGAGATTCTGAAGTCTTGAGAGGCGGTGGTTCATTCCTTCGGTGATCTGACTTGGGCTGCCGAGACCAACTCTTGGATAGACTAACCATATGTTCATCCGAACTGAGTACAAACATCTCAGAATGGAGCTGTAGGAACTACAGAGGCAAACACAACCCACACAACATTAAGGTCAGCAAACATTTGTCAATTACACAAGGTTAAAAAAAAGGTTCTCTTTTACCTTAATCTCTGGCCTGGACAGCTAAGAAGTATTTTTTGTGTGTGTACCGTCAAATCAGATCTGACTGGTACAGGAGGACACTGTTTCTCCTTCTCGAGCAGAGCATCTGGTGGATTCGAACTGTGCACCTCTGAACTTGCAGTTGCAGCTTCTTGCCACGAGGCCACCAGAGCTCGCCAAGAAGTAGTTCTTAGTCCAGTGACTGGTTCTTTCTCTTAAGGCTGAAATTAGCAGGCTGTGGGTTAATCCTGGCCTGCTGTCTGTTTCTGTATAGCCTTGAGCTCAGAATGGTCTTTACAGTTTTAAATGTGCTTCACCTCTCCCATGTCTCCACTAGTGAGTTTTTTTCTTTAAAACTTTAGTGTGAAATGGGTGGAAGTTTACACAGCAGATTAGTTTTCCATGAACACTTCATTTCATGACACTGACTCCAATACTGATAATGTAACATCAGTCCTCCCACTCTCCCCTTGTGTAACCCTTGTTGCTTTATAAACTTTGTCCTTGGCCAAATGCTGTCCATTAAATACTGAGTGCTTAAATGTCTACTATTTAAAAGGTTACATAAAAGATCGGGTTTTACTTCGTGGCCCACAAAGCTTGGAAGACAGCTATTTGTCCTATAAGAAAGCAATATAGTTCCTCACATGAATAGAAAAAGTCATGTCATCAAATCAAAAAAGACCCTGACAAAATGCAGCCTTTATTCAAGATCAATTGTTGGACCTGTTGTTCCTAAGGTTGTAGTGGCCTGCTCTATAGCACTGAACAATAATATTCAAGATAAGAACAATTAATCACTAAGGACTGAAAGGGAACTTCCTCAAACGATAAAGGATATTAAAAAAAACACACAACAAACACTGCCCAACCCCCAGCTAAAATATTTAAAAGTCAAATAGAGAAACTATAACCCAATTATTTTAGTTTTCTCTAATCCAATTATTTCAGATTATAAACTTTTGGGTGTGAATCCTGGGACAGCCCTTCTGCCTGCTGTGATTAGGAGTCCCCTTTTTTCTATTTATTCCTTGGCTCTATGAGAAGTGTGGTTACTGGCCTCAGGACCAACTTGGAGCTGACCCTCAAGGAGGTTTTCAAAGGCCGTAAGTAGCAAGAGAGGATATCAGCCATCTTTTTCCTGCAGCATAGCTGGTGGATTCAAACTGCCTGCCTTTGGGATGGAAGTGCAACTCCCTACCTACTAGGCTACTAGAGCTCCCTCTATGAGATTAAAGTTATTTAACAAATGCATTATAGCTGATAAAAACCCAATTTTATTTCAAGGTATTCTAAATGCCCTTCTGCAGCATTCATGTTACTAAGACCATAAGTGAAAACGTGTGGGGCCCAGGACTTCCTCAGGTGACCACAGACATTACCTTTTGCAGTGGTCCATGCTCTTTTCTGTACTTCTTGTTCCAGGATAGACCTGTTGTTTTTAAGAGCTTCTGGCCCAGCTGATCAAGAGGTATTAGATTACCTTCCTCCTTAAAGAAAGAACAGTCATTTAAAAACAATCTGAGGAGAAAGATTTCCAACAGTTAAGAGTTAACTAACGGGATTAAAGTTAATGAAATATGTTAATTAACTACAAACACATAAGTGGATTAATCATAATTATTCTAAAAGAAAGTGGACTGAGAAATCATGGTACATTCATACAATGGAATACTACACAGCACGCAGGAGCAATGATTTTGTAAATTACTATCTAACTTGCGAGAGACTGGAGAGCATTATGCTGAGTGAACTCAGTCCCACAAGGACAAATATTTAACAAGATCATTATTACAGAATGAGTATGAGGACCCACGAGTGTGCGCGTGTAGAAACAGAGGGATGAGGATGAGGGGGGAAGGGATTAATTACCAGGTTGTACAATTTGATGGAGGTGGGGTGGGTGAGGGAAATTGAAAGAATCTGGTGTGAAAAACAATGTATTCAAATTTTGTAAAGAAACTAGTATAAGAAAAAAAAGGTAGACTCAATCTTTCTATTTAGAAAATTTTAATCATGTCACTTTTATTCCCAATGCCAAAGTTTAGCTATTAAAGAGCAATAGTCAAAGAATACTTGGGCATTTAATGTATTCCTGATACTATGTGGACATTTTAGAAGAAATATTTTAAGTTAAAAAAAACATTCTTCCCTGAATGATTTGAAGTATTAACATTTATATGCAGGCAGGAGGGAAGTCGTCATAGATACATAAATAGTTAAAAGCACTCAGTCCACATCTGTGATTGTTTTTGTTAATGGCTGTTAAGCTGATTCTGACTCAGAGAGACCAGGTGTCTAATGGCAAAACTGTATCTACAGGGACTTCAAAACTGTGATCTTTTGCAAGCAGACCACCAAGTCTGTTTTCAGAGGGGCCTCTGAGTGGGTTTGAACCACTAATCTTTCAGCGAGTTGTCAAACACTGAAGCATCGGTACCACTCAGGGACTTTTAGGTCCCTAGTAAGCAGGAAAGTACTTTAGTAATGGATGAATGGAAAGAGAGCCTGCATCTTTATAATGGGTTACAGAAAACAACAATATCAGGAATAAAGAAACAGACAAAGCTTTAGGTCTCATAGTCATTAAAAGGACAATATAAGGAGAGCTTTGGAGGCCTAGTGGCAAGAAGCTACATTGCAATCTCAGAGGTATGCAGTTTGAATCCACCAGATGCTCTGCTGAAGACGGGGCAATCTCCTCCTGTACCAGTCAGATCCGATTTGACAGTACATACAAAAAAGAATTTAAAAAAAGGACAATATAGGAACATACTAAATTACTAAACAGTATGAGTAATCAATCACAATTCTCTTTTAAGTAGTAATAATAAGAACCAAGACAAGGACCCCTCAATCCCAACACACATATATCAGCCACGGGGAAAACCAAAGCAAAGACAGTTAGCAAGGTGCAGACAGGTAATCCTTGTTAGTCACAGTACCCATGTTCCATGAAGTCAAAGCCACACTCCATTAGCAAACACGGAACCACTTCTCCCTGGGAAGGCAGCTGTTTGGGCAGAGTCTGTAAAGTGGTGCTGTGAACCCAGAAGCCATGCCTTTCTGCTGGGCTGACTCCACCAGCAGGTCGGAGGGAGAAATCTCTCATGCAATCTGCAGCCTCAGAGAGTCAGAGTGGGGTCAGCCGTGAGTTGGCGCTAACATGACGGCAACATGCTCAGAGGGTTTTTGAGAAAATACCAGTTAGGTTCTTGTGAATTTTACTGAGGAGAATGACATATTCTTGTTTTATGTGTGCTTCAGATTAAAGACCCTTGTGGTTGTTCTTAGCTGCTGTCAAGCTGCCTCTGGCCCCTGGACTCCATGCACGAAGAGGAAAACGTCCCGCCCTGTGCCATCTCCAGGACTGGAGTGAGCTCGCAGACCGCTGTGCTCCATGGCTGATCTGTGCGAACAATGCCAGGCTGGGAACTCAGTGGGGCCTCTGCAGCAGCACGCAGCCGTCACGTGCTGCCAACGCACAGCGGCCCCACGGGACAGAGCACAAGGGGTCTCTAGGCCCAGGCGTCTACAGAGGGGTACACTGCCGGGCCTTTCCTCTCAAGGGGCTAACAGTGCATTAAAACAAAACTGCCAACCCTTCCGTTAGCAGGGAGTGCTTAACGACTGCATCACCAAGGTGCCTTCCTCAGCTTCACAGAAACACACCCCCCGCAGTGACGGACACGTGGGACACACCTCCAGTGAGTGGGACCTGCACACACGGTGCACGGGCAGAAGCTGAGCCTGGGTCTGGCCCATGGAAGGTGACAGACAGTTCTACCAAAGCTCATAAAGACATCTTAGCACAGACACAGAAAGCCTGCACCCCCATCTCCTCAACACACAGCACCTGTGATAAGATTGCTTGAAGAATCCTCAGTGGGTCATCAATCTCAGTTCCATTTGGAAGATCTTTCACATTTTCATCTGCCTTACTTTCTTTTTCCTAGAAAAGAAAAAGGTTTCTATTATCAATCCCTAAAAGGCAGTTAAAAAAAGAGCAATATCCATGTCACGAAGACTTCAAGATGGAGACCTGAGAGTCAAAAGGCAAAATAAATCCTTCCCACTGACGAAATTCTCACTCACAGTGGGCCTGTGACAGAAACCCGCCCAAGGGGCAGCCCCGGCCATCCACGTCCACCTTTCTCCTGTGGAACAGCTGGTAGATCTGAACTGCCAATCGCTCAGTTAGCAGCCAAATGTCTCATCCACTGTGCCACGAGGGTTCTGCTGACAGTCAAGACATCCTAACAATTGGTTGGGAATCAAACAGACCTGGCTCGGTTGAGTGATCTGGCACAAGCCACAATTTCTTTGGGGATTAACGATAAATTAGGTTTGTGAGGTAATACAAACTGTTCATACAATACACACAGCGGGTTCCAGCATTTTCTCCCTCATTTATCTGTACGTTACATGTTTTGATATGCTGTATTTTCATTATCATTCACTTAAAAATATTTGTTGGTCTTTATCTAACATGTTCTCCTTTAACTGTATAGTACCAATGATATAAGAACAATGACGGACAACTGTCAACCAAGAGTTAAGATTTTAAAATTCAAAGTACTGAAATTCCACTCTGTTTACCTTTAAATAAGTAAAAACAGTAAAGCCTGGCACATGTGCATGTCTATCTCCCCAACACAAACGATAGTTAACAGGAGACCCTTGGTGGGTAAGACACAGAAGATACCTGGACTAGTCTAGTAACTTACCTATGAATAACTGTTTCAAAGTAAAAAGGCGAAACTTTGACTTATATTTGTGCCTAAAAAAGCTTGTAAAGAGAAAATATGTAATAAAAGGCCATGTAGAACAATGAATGAATGAAAAGTCAACTGTTCTGTAAACTTTAATTAAAATAATAAAAATAAAAATAAAAAAGGCCAAAGATTATCCTCATCAAATGATAAACTTCTGAAAACCAATTCGTAAACTTACTTGAAAATGCCACTTTCCCAAATGATCCACATCTTTAATATATACATGGTAATGGCCTCCATAGCAGCCACCTTTGTGTATAATAACGGAGAAGAGGTCATACATGTATTCAGAGTCATCCAATTCACTCTAAAAGACAAAAGGACACAGCGCTGAGCACGCGCAGCTCTGCCGCCGGGCTCCCTAATGTGTGCTGTGCGTTTCCACTCTTGGTCCACCAGCCATTCCTTCCGTGAAGACTCACAGCCTCGGAGACCGACAGAGGCTCGCTATGAGCTGAAACCCACAGGAGCAGTGGGTTTGTGTTTCCTAACGTGGAGTTAAAGAGCAGCGTAGAAAACAAAAGAAAGGGGGAAAATGTCAACTAATGAAACTCTCAAGGCATTCTACTATCACTGTTACTTAAGAACAAATTAAAAGCAATTTAACTGACTTTCAAATCCTTCATTCTTAGATTGGCAGTTACTGATCTAGCATCACGGATACTTTTGCTCCTGACATAATGGGTAAAGTGCTTGGAAGCAGGAGTGGCATCCACTTCCTGAACAGCATGCCTCTGGAAACTCTATGAACTTTGAGAAACAATAGTTATCGAAAGGCTTCAGGTCTTTTGTTCATAGGGTCGCTATGAGTCGTGTTTGACTCCACGGCAATCAACAACAGTAACCAGAAGGTGAGAGGTCTGAGCCCACCAGCTACTCTACTGGAAAGAGGTCTCGCGGTCACAGCCTTGGAAACCACATGGCCAGTCCTACTGTGTCCTAGAGGGTCACTACGGACAGATCGGACTCAAGAGAAGTGAGTTACATTAAGATGCTTGAAAGATGTTTATTTAAATGCCCAAGGGAGGAAAAAGGGAAGCCTCAATCTTCTCAATTTGACGGTTTTGAACTCTATTGGTATAAATTCTCTTCTGACTTTGCAGTTTATCTAAGTTCAGTTCTCGTCAATAATGCTACAATTGACCATGGATTCCATTTAGAAGAATACCAACCATGTGGTAGAACGAGTATGCGGATTCAAGGGGGGAAGGAGAGAGGTGAAGATGGGGGACGGTGATAAGCATAGGGTCGTACAATTTGATTGGTGAAGGGAGGCAGAAGTGAAGGAAACGGGAAAGATCTGGTGTGGAAAAAAAATGTATACCAACTCTGTAAATAAACCAGTATTAAGAAAATAAGAGTACTAATTTTTTGAGAAATGTATCTGCTTAAACACCATACTGTTTTTTACACACTATGCTTTTAAGTGGGCAACATTTTAAAAATGTCTTTCAGAAAAAAGGCAAAAGAGATGCACATGAAAATGCAAAGTGACATTATTTTCTTTCATTAATAGAGACGTTTAGAAGTAAAATGTATGTGTTTTCTGGATTAAGTGCTCACAGTTTTACTTATTTAAAACAGGTGAAAACCATGTGACAATGAAATTTAATGAGCCCAAACCCCAGAACCTGCCGCTGCCAGAGTGATTCTGACCAACGGCAGCCTCCACTGGGTCACGGAAGCGGGAAATCTTTCTGAGAGGAGACTGTTATCTCTCTCCTGAGGAGCAGCTAGGTTTGAACTGCAGACCGTTTGATTAGCTGACCAACACACTGCCCACCATGACACCAAAGCGTCTCTAACAGGCTCCTCCCCATAATAAAAAATCCCCCAACTCAAAGTGCTCCCTTGCCAGGTGAGAAACCCACTGATAAAGAGCTGAGAATCAGGTCAACAAAAGAGTCAATCTTGGGAGAGAAGAATACCAAGTAGCAAAGTTCAAACCTGTTCACAAAAAGGCTTGAGATCAATCCGGAGAGGGAATGTGTAGCAGCTAGTCTCCTTGTAGCGTTCACACTTTACAAAATCAAAATTAAATCTTAGTAATGAAACAGTCAGGAAGGGAGGCAGTTTCCGTAATTTGGCCGACTGTTAAAAGAAAAAGTTAAAAAATGGTTTCAGAATGTAAGTCACACCAAAGAATATATTATGTTTTCTTATGATAAGAAATGTATGACACAGTTTTAAGAGAAATGCCTTAAGATACATAACCTCATTACACCAGGGATTCAATATAGCTTTTGATAAAAATTTACCTATTTTATTAGGCAAAGGTGGCAACACTGATAGATGCTTGCAGTCAAAAACTACCACCCAGTGTTACTGCTTCTGTCCTAAAATGCTATTTGATGGGCATGTCAGAGGGGTGCTCCTTGCTCTGTCCTTTCCTGCCCTCTCTAGTCCTCCCCTTATTACCCTGGAACCACCACCTGAGCCATCAAAGTGGAGCTCTTTTCATTTACCCAAGAACTGGTGCTCTCAAGCTGGGATTCAGAAACTTGCTTCAAAGATCTGAGCCCTTGAAATCACAGGAAATTTTATGCATGCCTAAGGAGATGTTCTCAGCTTTCACTGAACTCTCCAAAGGTTACAAATCCCGACTGGGGTTTTACAGTCATTGATCTTAATTTTAAAAGTAGTTATCAAGATTTTTTTTTTTACTTATTGCAGAATTTTTTTTTCTCATCTTGCTTAATACAAGTTGTCCTGCCTGAACTAGGCAAGGATGCCCACTATCACCTTTTTCATTCAATATTGTTTTGGAAGTCTTAGCAATAGCAATAAGACAAGAGAAGGGAATAAAAGGTATCCAAATAGGCAACGAGGAGGTAAAATTATCCCTTTA